CAAAATTGGTCCAAAAACCTCTCATGTTCAGCTGTTTTTTTGTAAAAAGATAACAATGTTAGCCTTTTCTGCAGCTATAGGGGATATATGGTATCACTCTTGGCTGGAAGCAGTGCCTTAAGCAGACCTGCCAGCAGCATACCTACACGCACGCACACACATACACAGGTTTTTACATGGTTGCCACACTTGTAAGTACCCCAGCTAACATAATCTGTGCTAGCAAAATACAATGATTCAACATGCATCTGAAATTACAATTAAATTCTTTTTAATGTACAAATGCTTCCTGGCAAATACAGTATGTTATAATAAAGGGGTAACAATTCGTGTTTTACTGGAATTAAAAAAATAATTACAGTAATTTTAGGTAGTGTATCAATATTTAAGTAATTTACACTATGCTGTACTTTTAGAGATGCAGGCTTTATTATTAAGGGGATTCGCTTTGCCTTTTTGATTTCTTATTATGTTGGTGTGTATCACTATTCAAATGGCCCTTTATATCACAAAACATATGTGTTAGATTTGTATTGTTGATTGTCATTTATGCTTAGCAATATCTACTCATATATGCTTAGAGTTGTATAATCAATGTCATATTGGTAGAGGTTTGATCCTTGATAGTCTGCAGAGACGTTGTGTACATTCCAGAGTGCTCTGGCATTCACACCCACACATTGGGAGCATGGGAGAGGTCGTACCTTATATTATTGTTTTATGGTAGGATAAACGTATCTATGTCTGTTTTAGGCTAAGTGCCTTTTGCTTAGATGAACTGCTGGACTTCCAGACCAGCAGGTTTAGGGAAGTCATTTATCAGGTCACACTCTGAACCCACACACACACACACACGCACACACACATACTTACACAACGCACAGGCAAGGTACTCTTTGTTTGTATGTAGACGTCATATGTTAATGAACCTATGTATATTCATGCCACCTCAATAAAAGAGCAGTGTTTCAGGGGAGCGGACGAGAGCGACTGGGGTCAAGCGAAGGAACGGCGTTTGTCCAGTTCTCTCCCGTGCACGAGAAACATGAAGAACTTCTACAATTTAATTACACAGCAAAGCAGGACCCGAGTAGGCAAATTGTACTGAACGTTCCAGCGAATAGGTTTTTTCTACAAACCTATCAATATGAGAAGGATTTTTCTCTCTTTCCTACAAAAAAAATACACAAATGCCATGAAACACTAAACGGCAAAGGCCCATGTGATAATGATGGAGCCAACTCAAACACTCTTCAACCATCAAAACTGTCCTATCCTAGCAAAAGGACTTAAGGAAAACTACAAAAAAATGAAAAAGTAATGGATTTTCTTCTTTTCACTTATTTTCATATGTATGATGAAGGAGTGGGATTTTTTTTAAACTTTTTTGGTAAATAAACCAGAAAATATGGTCAACTTCGAATAACTTACATTGTAATTAATTCTTAAAAAACTTGAATCGTGTTTGTAGGTAAATAAAATTTAATCATAATTTCAGATAAAACACACAGAGAATCAATTTAATTCCAGGGGAATTACAGCCATATGCTGTATTATAAAGTTCTACCTAATCACTGTCTTATTAAATCATCATCAAATGGACCTACGTCTCCTCAAAGCAGTGATTGGTCCAGTGCTTCCACCTTTGCATTTTTGCTTACTTCTAATGTCACCATTTTCTCTTTTAACTGACTCAAGGAGAATGGATGAACTCCAAGAGAGAGCACAAACCACCCTCTACTGTTTATGCTGCATATTGCAGCACAACACAGACACACAAGCATAGCTGCTGGGAAGATCTACATCAGAGGCTCTTAACACAGATTTTATACTAGCTTAAACTAGAGCTGGGCGATAAACGATAACGATATGTATT